ACGACCCCTACGTACCAGCAAACGGCAAGCCTAGCTCCGGAGTGGTGACAGACTTGCCGGTACGGATAACAATATATTGCATAAGAACAAAAACAATAGTAAGAATATTTTCAAAATATTTAATCAAATAATTAATAAAAAATTTAGTAATAGAATTATAACCAATCCAAAATATAAACTGAATAAAAAATTCAAAGAATATCAAAATATATAGACATAAGAAATCAAAAATTATATTGTCAAAGAGGTTATTACAAATTTATTTATTTAGATAATCAAGAAATATATAGTGAAGAATAAATAATAAAAGATAATATATGATATAATAAATAAATTATCAATTGAACTATATAAAAAGTAGATAAACAAATATGAACAATTTGTCAAATGGAAAGAAATAAACAATATTAGTAAATAGAAAAAAGAAAATAAACATTAGACAAAAAAAAGACTAACAGTAGGAAAAACCTTTATATTAGAACTTAATAAAATAATGTAATAAGCCAGTTATAACTGGATTAATTAAAATATAATTTTTTAATATAATTTTTAATTGAAATTAATAAAGTCTTGGTATAGTAGTTAAATATATATTAATATTTGACAATAAGTTATGCAGTAAGAAAAAATACTTTGTAAGTTTTATTTAAAAAACAAAAATATAAAATTTGTAAAAAATGAATCTGTACATACTTAATCAAATAAATCAAATAAATTAAAATATAAAACATCAATTTATAAAAAAAATAAAAAAATATTTTAATTTTAATTAAAATTAATTACTTTATATAAAAATGAAATTTTAAATTTTTTTTATAATTATAAATTAAAATTAATAATTCAAAAATTAAAAGTTAGAAATAATAAAAATAAGTATATTATTTGTTTTAAAATTTATAATAAAATATATAATATTGTCTAATATTATTATATATTTTTAAAAATAAATAATTGTTTTACAATAATTTAGTTAAACAAAATTTAAATTAGATTAAATAATTTAAAATTAGTAATAAAATTTTTATTTTTTAAAGATTGTATTTAAATAAGTTTATAAGTAAAGATACAATTTGTTTAAAAAGGTTTTAAACAAATTTTTATTTTTTATTTTTATTTACAATTCTATAAATAATTGATAAAATAAAATAAAAATTTAAATATATATAAATAAAAATATAAAAAACAAATTTATTTATTATTATAATAAAAAACTTATTAATTTTTTAATTTAACAATATATAAATTTTGATTTTAACAAATTTTTTTAAATAATATATGATATTTAAAACTTTTTTTTATAATTTATTAATTATTAAAAAATTTATTTTAATATAATATATTTAATAAAAAAAATATCTTTTGATTTATATTGCAAAATAAAATTAATTTAATTAATTTTAAATATAAAAAATAAAAGTTTTTTAAAAAAACAAAAATTTATGTAATATTGTTTTTTTGAAAATAAAATCTATCAAGTTTTTAGCAATAGATATTTTTTACATATTTTTATATATAATCATTATAAAATAATATATTCAATATATATAATTTAAATAACCATTTCAAAAAAACAATATTTTATTTTTTTTTAAGAATAGATTTATAAAAAAGATTAATTATTTGAAAAATATTATAATTTATTTAAAATAAGCAATTAAAATAATATATTTTTAATCTAATTTGATTTATTAATTAATTTAATTAATTTATTTTTTTAATATTTTAATTTATTGTAAGTTGCAATATACTGCAGTTTTTCATATCAATTTATTTAACATCAAATAAATTTTATTATGAAGTTTTTACTTGTTTGCTATAAAAAATTTTTTTCAAGTTTGATTTTTTTATTTTAAAATAGATAGTATCATTATATTTTATGTTCAATTTTGTATTTTTAAAACAATTTTTTATCATATGGTTTATGTAAATTAATGAGATATATATTTTTTTTTAAAATAAATAAATGATCACATTTTATTTTTTGTTATTTTAAAAAAACGTACGGTATGGTATGTGGTATTTAATATCGTAAGAAATGTTGTTGGTTGTTAATACGTACCATTAGTTGTTGATTGATGATTCATCGAAAAGGCAATGAAATAGATTTTTGGAGATACTGTATATTACAAGAAATCAAATAATTTAAAAAAGTATAATAGGATAATTTGATTTGATTTGATTTTACAATGTTTTTTTTTATTATCGCTATCAATTGAATTAGTTGAGTTGAATTTATGTTTGGAAAATGCCAATTCAATTTATATTAAATAGAATTAAGAAATAAATAGATGAATAAATTTATTTCAGTATGGTTTTTTTTCTACCTGCGATTGTTATAAATTTTGTCTTATCGACAAATGATATTATTCTGTATTCGATTTTAGATGGAAATAAATATACGGCATTCACTAGATTTAAATGCGTTATAACTAATAATGCTTATCTTGTGTCAATCAATTTTTAATTAAAAGTTTATTTTAAAATCAATCCATCGATTATATGAAATTTTTTTTCGTCAAGAATATTGCCTTATAGATTTATTCGGTAATATAAGTTAATGAAAGTTAAATACAACAATATTAATTAGAAAAAATTCCAACAATTCATTTTTCATGTTTTCTTTGCAACATTTAAACGAATAGGAAATACGATAATCAAATGCTAATGCATGCACGCATAAATCGAATCTATCGAATGTATGCCAAGATTTTTATGTATCTAATATGAAGGTAAAATGAATTCAATTTAATTAGCGTTTCATTCGAACGCTACGTTGGTATTAAAGTAGAAAAATATGTGGAAGAATGCATTGGTTTGTTAACTGTTCTTTTTTGCGTATAAATGGCGTAACCAAATCCGAAAGTTATGAAAACACTGATACACTGGAAAGTGGATGATGAAAGTGAATGAAGGGAATAGAAATTCCCTGCACGATTTTCGTATATTTATACGTAATAGGTGCCGTGACCAACTGCAGTAGTAAATTTGGAGAATACATCATGAATTGAACCTTAAAACCGTTTGATAATCGCACTACAAAAAGAAGAATTATTTCTTGCATAGATAGAACATTTCAAAATAGTATTATAGTTTCATACATACGTCATCATCAAATATATTACTTTTACCGTTGCTGCTCGTATTAGAATTAACAGAATTGACACTGGCCCTCAGAGATCTGTCATTCGCGTCGTATGCATACAATTGGTTAACTTGCAAGTTCCTCATCTCTTGTATGTTCGGTTGCTGTTCCGATTGTTGACTGTCGTAGGTCCTATCCGCTGGTTGATTCCACCTTGCCTCAGTTTGATCATATTGAGCGAGTTGAGGTTCTGGATTTAGTAATGGAAGGTTTGATTCGCTCGATGAAAAATTTTGTTTGTGGCTCTGCGTATGTACATAACCATATGGTTGATCATCTTTCTTTGATGGGAGCTCATAATCGTTAAATTGTGGCTGGTATTGTTGGTGTGATTGCTGCCTCTCGAGAATTTCGAATTGATGTTGATATGATAGCTCGTACTGATAATGTTGCTTCTGTTCCTCCAGCTTTTCCCTTTGTAATGCTCTTTGTAGCTCCTGTTGGTGCAATTCTTCTTGTAGCATCATTTCCTCTTCTTGCCTTTTAATTTCAGCCTGTTGAGCCTCTTGTTCTTTCTGTCGTAACCTTTTAGACACTTTGGCTATATTTTCTGCATGCTTTTTTTTCAAAGAAAAATTAATAAACAATTTCTCAATTTCTTAAAGATGCGATTAGATCACAGTCATCTTACCAGCAGAATGTCGTTGATCTTTCGAAAATCGGGATCATTTGGTTGCACCTTTATAACCTCTTCAGCCAAAATTTCATCAATAGGATAATACCTCGGACACATTGCCCAATATGTATTACTGTTCGTCTCACATATTTCACATTTTGGTAACTCGTCGTTTTCGGCATTCAGTGTCTCCTTGTTCATTATCTTATCAATATCCATGACATGAATCCTCCCCTTCACCTGCACCGCCATCTTCTGCAACTCTTCTAAATCTTTTTGAGGGGCACCACATTCCACACATCCCATTAACCTTTTGTGCATGTGCATCGCTTGTTCGCACTTCTTGCAAATGGATTCTTTCAAAGTTTTCCTCTTTTGCTCAAGCTCCGATAGGATTTCTCTGTAAGATGGATCATAGGTATCAAGGGTAGACAGCGTGGAAGCAGTGGTTTTGATCCAGTTCGAGCATTGGGTACAGTGATTGTAGCTGGTGTTGACTTTGTTGCATGAAGGGCATTTGCCAAAGAACAAGAGGTTACGTCTGGAGAGGGATGATTGACTTTTTAACATTTTTTGTAAGATTAAGTTTGGTGAGAAATTTGTCTCTGAAATTCGACAGTTAAATTGGCATACACGTACAATGCACAAAATATAAATAAGGCTTAGATAATCATATCGTACTGTATTTGTGACACTACAGTATTTAATTATTGGCTACAGTACCGGTACTGTAGTAAAGAAAGCAACCACCTAACGTGAAGAAGTCAAAGTATTATTCAAAGCTAAAAAATGAGATCCTTGAACGATTGATTATTTAGGGAAATTGTGATAGTACATAGCATGCGTGGTAAGAAATATGAATCCTTGTTTTGAATATTATACTGTATTAGGAAGACGACACGGCATAACTTAATTTATGAAACTACTTATACATTTTTATTTATATAATCTTTTTTTTTTAAAAAATTTTTTTTCGTTTGTCTTTTTCCGAGACTCTATAAACATAAATGGGATCATATATCATGTATCATAAAAAATTACGAAACAGTTTTTTTTTGCATTCAACAGAATACATGTCGTAAATATACAAACCAACGTAACACTCAGTAAAGAATCCGAAGGAAAAAATTTCTCGTGATACAAAAAGGTTCCCTTCAAAGTCCGATTTCTCGGATGTTATGCTAAATTATATACAAAGTGTATGTGTGTGTGTTTTTACCGGGTAATTGATAGGTGAAGACGTATGTATACAGCATGAAGTGAATAATGTACAAATGTGTTCGCGTTTGTCCTTGCAAACGCTTCATGTTGCCCAGTAGAACCAGTCTATAAGGCTGAAAATATCATGGTCTTAGAGATTGTGAGAGAGATAGCGAGTAAACATGAACCTAACCCACACCTACTTTCTAAAATCTTCTTCACTTGGGATGTCATTTATTGGGGCATTCCCGTATATCGATACCTCCCGTATTTTTTTCACTATATCTGTGGTGAGTAAGAAATATATTTTTTTAATGGAAATATCCGTTTATATATACAAAAATGGAAAGCAGTAGTCTACTCACATTCATCCACGTTTTCCAGATTATCTGAAAAGGGCATGAATTTACTGAAATATTTTGTTTTCAAGTTCGATCTCGACATCGGTCGTTCCCGATGTAACATTTGTAGTGCATTTTCTTCCACCTCACTTAAGATTCCATCCCAGCTTCCCTCATTTTCGTCTTCCAGCTCTCCTAATACCAACAATAATTCGTCGATACTCGGACGGTTACCTGGGACCATGTCCAAACACCATGCCACTATCTCTCGGTACCTCCCCGGCATATCTTCGGTCATACATGGTCTTAGACCATTGTATATGTCCACACAAAGTTGCAAATCGTGTGCTCGTTCGATAAATGGCCGTTGACCAGACCACAATTGCCACATGATAACACCGAACGAATATATATCTGACGAATTTGTGTGCGTGCCACTCAACATTATTTCTGGATCGACATACGGGATGACCCCGGATACTCTTTTAAAGGTGGAGGCGGTTATTTGGAATGTAGAATCTTCTGTCCGAGAGATGGCATGGGGTTTTTTCGTGAACGAGTCAACACTATTTTTTGCTGGATCCGCGAAATTTGAAGTACCCGTGTCACCAACATATGCGCAGTGGGAGGCATCGATAAGAATGTTGCCGCCGTGGAGATTACCATGAATTAACCCGGATTTATGAATGGCATGAAGTCCGAGGGCGATGGACTTCAGGATGGAGACGGTTTGACGAAGGGAGATGTGTGGTTTGGTATCAAGGTATTCGTAGAGAGAGCGTTGCTCCGCATACTGCAAGACCAACATGAACTCCTTGGTCGTAGGATCACGAGTTACACCGTAGACGCGTAATAACCCGGGTACAATATATGCTTTATCGTCAGGAACACACCGACTCAGAGTTCTCAACTAGCGGATCGTTATTTACAATCGTCAATTTAACGAATCAAAGCAGGAAGGCAAAATAGATCACGACGACTTACCTCACTAAAAAATTGTGGCTTCATGTTTTGTGATTTGGAAATGGACTTTAAGGCAACCATGGTGCATCCCTTCCGATTCCACTTGGGCATCATCGGTCTCTGTTTATTTTCTTGGGTTTCCAGTACAGATTGACGCTCCTTTCTTTTAGCCCGATTGCTACCAGTCAGACTCCAAATTCCGATTCGATCGGTTATGCTTTTGCTACTCCTGGAGCTTTTGTCACTTTTGTCACTTTTATCACTTTTATCACTTTTGTTACTTTTGTTACTTTTGTTGCTTTTGTTACTCTTCTTACTCTTGCTACTATTATTGCTGAACACGCTTTTGGCACTCTTTCCACTGTTGATACTGCGGATATCCATGTTGTCGGCGTTCTTGTTCTCCTCTTCGAACGTAGGTGGACCATCCCTCGGACCATCTCTCCACTTTGCCTTATAAACCTTGGAAAAACTTCCTTTCCCGATGTATTCCACATCTTCAAATTTTTCGTATTCAATCCACTCAATGAACGAAAATATTGTTCCCGCATTAGCTTGTATACTTTTGATGACCAAGTCAACACCTTGATTATTGCTCGACCAGTCCGGATGCTCGGATTGATATGAATAGAATTCACATTGGCGGCACCAGTTGTAGTGAAAACGAGGTTCACCACATTTCGAGCATGTACCGTAAATTTCATACTGGGATTTTTCGGGTATTGTTGATGAGATGATTGGAGTATGTGAAGAGGGCATTTCGTTTCTTCTTCTTCCTTTAAGGGTAATAATCTTTCGATCACGTGAAAGATGTTCGTAAAACGGGGTTTGATGATAGGTTCAAAGTCACTGTCGCTTAATTAATTAATAATGAATTTCTTTCTTCTTTTGACGTTCAATCTATTACCATTCCAGAATCATCCAGAAAAAAAAAATGCTTGAAAGTAATTCTTTGGATTTGATATTTTGAGAAAGACTTAAATCATGATCCTCACCGTATTTAAAATTAGTCCTCTGGCATTGCGAGTCAAGGAAAAACAAAAAAAAAAGTGTTGAATAAAATTGCGAGAGGAAAGACTCATGTGTCTCAAAAATTTGGAAATCTGAAAACCTCTAAATACTCACGGACAACAAACTTGCATCAATGAAGGATTAAGCTTGTAAATTTGCGAATGGATGATTAATTTATGTACTGTACTTATATATGTAATAACCGTACAAAGATACAGTGCATATGTGTTTTTGTGTGGTGCGTAAACGTGCGCCAAATCCTTCACCAAGCAAAGTGGCCAGCTGTTTTATAAAAAAAAAAATAAAAAAAAATTGCGAATCGATATTTATATATAAAGAACCAAATGGATAATTTTGCAAGCAGCATGTTATAAAAGGGTCACATCCGTTCTGTTTATCTGTGCACACACGCATTACTAGCATTTTGTGATTTACCCGCTAATACCAACGGATGGATAGAATTATAAATGGAAATCCAATAAAATGTTTTTTTTCTATTCCGCTACGTAGAAACAAATTCGTTTTCGCGTTACCTATCGTAAATAATGATGTGCACAGATGTTTGGGATCTGTTGATCTGTTTTCTGCAAATTCAGGGTCCCTTAACATATTGGGAACGAAGAAAGGTCATTACGTATGCGTGAACGATGATTATTAGAATATTCCTAAAGGATGAGCAAAATGTTTTAACATGGTAGGCAACCATTAATATTAATGATCAGAACTTTTCTTTTCATTACACATGGGCGTGCTCATAACTCGCTCGTATATGCACAAAACGATCCTTGTGAAGCGTGAAAGATGTAGCACTCGTTCGTTCATTTGATTTTTGATGAGCTACCGAGATTTGGAAGTTGATGTCGCAAACCTGACCGACCGACCGACCGAATAAATAAAACCTCAGAGCCTGCCTGTACATTCTTGTCAAGTTCAATCATGCAAAATCTTTGACCGTTGTATCTCTTCTTTTTTCCTTTCTTATTCTTTTTGTTGGATTATTTTCATAGAAATCCTTATTTTGGTCATAATTTTGTTGTTCGCTCTTACAAAATGTCATATTTGTACATCATAAGAACTCATTAATGCACATAAGTGGCTAATAAAAATCAAACCTGACAATATGGTATTCTCATTATTGAATTGTTTGTATTTAGGAATTTACAAACAAAAATGCATGCGTAATAAAGGTGCGTCACACACAAAGCTAGGAAGGACGGATTGCCTTTTTGGAATTTTAGAGACCTCACTCCCGGGGACCTATTAAATTTAGGATATCGCGAGCTGACGCAATTCCTCCCATGCAGAATTGAGGTGCAGTACTGTATTTGCAATCTTTCCCTCAAACTTGGTTGAGAATCGGGCGGTTTACGTACGTGGTGAGGTAATCTCGATAAGTGCTGATCTTCGATTACGTAATGGATCGCGAGTTTTCATAGGTGGTGGTGGTAGGCATTCTGAAATGGTAATTAAAAAGGGTTTGGTCGTGGAACAAAAAAATTCCATATATTAACCAATTAAACAAATGCAATGTTTGGTGAAATGACCTTTCCCCAAAGAGTGCACTCATTACCACGGACTGCGTTGAGAAAAATAAACATAAGTATTGTTCGAACCATCTCATTCAAGCTCCGTGATGAAGGTGTCTCTATTGATTACCCGAAATCACCATTTTGTACATATTTTGTACCATATTAACCCGATCAACATATACAGTATATGGTCATTAATTTTTCATTAATTAAATTATTCACACAAAAAGTTGTTTGAAAGTGCACATGCGTACCACGCGGTTTTAGGGCGCAAATTTTGACCACCCATCAAAAAATTCGATTCATCTTCTCGCACGGATACTGTGATAGTCTCACGTGGTCTTAATACATAAAAGGTGAATTAACACGAGTGTCGATCAGAATGCTTGTGCTCGAGTTTTAAGGTTTTTTCTCGTGGGGTTTTCTCGTGTAGGCAAACATGTGCGATATAAACAATTCCAATGGTAAAAATGGAAATTGCATTCTCCTTGGAAGTTAACTGTCACCACATATGGTGGACGATTGTCGCCCTTGTCGGTGTCCGATAACGCCAAACGTGAAGATTACCAGCTCGACGGAAAAGGCATGCAAGTTATTGTTTTTATTAATTTGAACTAATCGTCCCTATGTAAAGAATTCATTGGGTGATCCTTTTCTATTTCAATGTAACTTCATTCTTACATTGTTTTCTCATTAATTTTCTGATTCTATTCGGAGAATTGATTAGACGAATTCGAATATCGAACCTTCGAATTTTTAAGGTTGAATTTATCAATCTTTTTTTTTTCCTGTTTGTGTGAGCGATTGAAAATAATTTCATTATTGTTCGTGTACACGAGTATACAGTGCATGTTCAAATGAAAGAAGTATGTACTGTATGTACTGTATAACAAAAATCACCACATTACTATGAAAACTGTAATAGAAAAAATTAAATATTTTAAGATAATATTTGCAAAAAAATACAATTCACAAATACTTCACAAATATTTTATTAGACATTTTAAATACCAAAAAAAAATAATGTATATATATTGGAAAACAGGTAACAAAAATTTTCTTTTCAATAGATTAGGAAATTAGGATTAAAAAAGAAACAACCATTTTTAAATTTTATTTTGTATAAATTCTCTAAAAATATACTTCATATACTGTATATATTATAATAATCGATTTTAATTTTTATTTCGATTAATTATAATCTGATAAATAATTATTTCATATAAAAAAAAACAGTATATTTGACTAAAAATTATCATAATTGGAAAGTAAAAAAAACTTTAATGTCAAAAAGAATTACCAAAGATCTTGAAAGATTCCTTAAAGTATCAATAACAATAGAATTAATATTGTAAAAGAAATAGTAAAATAAAAAATAAATTATAACTTTTATATACTTTAAAACAAATACCATATGATATTTGGATAAATAAAGCAAAAAAATATTTTTTTCCTAATATAAAAATTAAAGCACTTAAATTTTCTTTGTTTTTATTTATTTTTTTAAGATAAAAAGTATTGATTTGTATTATTATTTTTTTTTTCCGTAATCAAACAAGTGCATACTGTTTATTAAATCTTTACAGAAAACAAATAATGTATAATACATCATATTGCATAAACTATT